ACACTTTGTTACTATTAGTCCTCTACTGGTTCTACTAGACTGTTTTACTCTGTCCATCAGTCCGTTCCTTGTGTAATCAGCCATGTCATCACTTTATGCAGTGTGAAACAGGTTGCATCACACATTTTATGCGCCCTTGATGATGGTGTAAATTGTGTATTACAGTAGGAAAGTGGGACAGAAAATAACCAAATATGTACTCCTGTGTGATAGACAGAAATCTCAACCCTCGGAACAAGATTTTAAAGTTACCACCTGGTACAACCTCATGCTAAACTTAAAGCTTTTCTCTCAAGGGTTGACAAAGTCTCAAGTGACCTACATTGTATTGCGATCTCCTTTTGTCCGTCGTTGTCTGTCGTCCATCGTGCGTCCGTAAACAATTTACATTTTCGACTTCTTCTCCAAAACCCTTTAACCAATTTCAATGAAATTTTGCGGAAACCTTCCTTGGCCAAAAGTCAACAAAAATAGCGGCCGGTTTGGTCCCCAGCCCCCAGGGGCCCGAGGGGCGGGGCCAAAAAGGGTCGAATTGACTGTAATTTCAAAAATCTTCTTCTCAAGACCCAGATATGGTAGAATCAAATACTCTCCATAGATGGAAGGGTCTTAAGGTGCTTTACCAAAATTGTGAAATTCTTGACCCGGGGGTCTCACATTTCCCTCTGGGGAGGTGGTAAACTTTACTATAGATTATATTGGGAAATCACATTTTGGACCAACATTTGTTTAATTTCCATTGGAAGTAATTCAATTTAGGTTAGCATTATCAGTATTAGGTAGCAGTTTGATAGTATGCACATATGAGCCCTGACTGACCCCCAGGGGCTGATGGGTGGGGCCATAAAGGGTTGAATTGACTGAAATTTCAAAAATCTTCTTCTCAAAAACCCAGATATGGTAGAATCAAACACTCTTCATAGATGGAAGGGTCTTGTTTATGACCCTAGGGTCTCATGTTTACCCACTGGGGAAGGAGGGGGAGGGGGGGGGGCACAATTTATTATGGTTTATAATGGCAAATGATACTTTGAATATTACATGTTAATAGCTTGCATTGATTGGAATTATAACCCTGAGTTGACAGTTTGATACTTTGAAAATTTTGAGCCAGCCCTACCCCCAAGGGCTGGAGGGTCAGGGCGTCCGTGTGCTAATATTTCTTCATTTTCCTTGTTCAGAATCAGAGGTGCTAGTTTCAAATACTTTTTAGTCTTAAATCTGTAAGCTAGATATTTAATAAGGTGGTTTTATTGATTTTTGTCACTTTGAATAATATTTCTGTTAAAATCACCACTCTGTATTAGGGTGAGCGTTAAGGCCCATGGGCCTCTTGTTCTGTCTACATCAAACATGAGTGGTAAATTTATTACTCTACATGAAAGAGGACATAAAAACATTAAGATTTTACAGGTACTGATGTTTCTCTATGTGAATTTCAGCCATGCTGGGGATGCGTAAGCGAGGGGAGGCAAAGCGTATCCAGAGGGAGCGTGACTCCGCTGGAGAGGAAGGCACAGTGGATGTGGACAGTGTGGATTGGCTGACAGGGACGTACAGACTGGAGGGCAGCGACGAGGTGCTGGGACATAAACACAAGGTAAACACCAGCCGATTAAAATATCAAAAACAAAAAACAAATATACAAGTCAGGTTTGAATGCCTGAAATATTGGAGGTTTGTTTTAGTAGTAATTTAAATTGTACAAAAGAGGTGATCACTTAAACCATTATAAAGGATTATAAAGGAAGAAAATTCATAAAGGACAGAATTTTTGTCTCACCAATAAAGACATCCGTTACTAGGTTTCATTCATAGGAAGATCCATCAAGAACTTGTCCAATGCTGACTACACAAGATGATGACAATATTTAGTATCCAACATCCATGGAGAAATAACAAATCATAGAAAATGCTTTGTTTTAGTTCACCATCAGAGGATTACCTCTTCAACTGCATTTTCTTCCATGTCCTGCTGCAAAATATACCTGGTGTTGTCGACTAAATGTTGCAAGGGGCAACTGATGTGTGAGCTCCCTGCAGAATCAGGGATTGGATTTTTGTGTCCTCTACTTGGGGACACAAAAGTCATCAAAATATATCTGCTGCACCCATTGCAACACTTAGAATCTTTATATGTTCTCCCCTCTGGGGCCATGCTTGGCAATATGCACTGTATGGAGGCACGGTAGCCTAGTGGTAGGACGCCGGCTTGTGACTGAAGGGTTGCGGGTTCGAGTCACGGCACAGCACTGTGTTGTAGCTTGGAGCAAGATACTTTACTCCGCTTGTTCCAGTCTACTCAGCTTTAAATGAGTACATGATTGGGCAGTGCTAGAATTGTTGAATGTTAGCTATGAGCGTCAAAATGGCAGCACCGGCTGTATGCTCCTCAGGGAGTTGAGAAAGATATTGGCTGGTTGCAAAGGTCCTATAAATATAACCATGGATAATAATTTGTGAACCGCTTTGAGACGACCTACGAACTAGGTTGTGATAAAGCGGTATATAAGAACCTCAAATTAATATTATCATTATTATATTATTGTATAATTTTCATTTGCTTTGGATATATTTTTCAGTCAAGTGAGGAAGGAGATGAAAAAGAGGAGGAGGAAGATGATGATGATGGAGAGGTGCCAGTGATATGTGGAAAACCTCCATCAACAGAAAAGGGAATTTTCTCTACTGAAAGTGAGTATACCTTTCCTGGTGTTGAACAGTAAAACTCCCACAACTTCAAGTTGCTCCATTTGTTGAAACTCTTCAATAAGATTTGATTCTCAGCTGTTTATCATCTGTCTTGTGTATATTGTTATCTACAATTTTCTTACTGGATGACTAATAAAATGTACCTGTATGGTGGGTGACCCATAACATAAACAACCCTTTGTTTCCGATATTTTTTGTAACTTGGTGCATGTATCTTTCAGTATTGTTTTCCCTTGTCTTGGATCTTTTATAATATTTTCATAGTTTTCATGAAATATTTTCTAAATGTGTTTTGTCGATTATGTGAGGACTTGAGTGCTGTTTGTACTGCAGTTTGATTTTTTAATCTTTATTTTTTTTCTCTCTAATAAAAATGAAAAATTAAGCACATGAAAAGTTAAAAGAAAAAAACATTCACCTTAGGTTACTGTATACATACATAAAAGTGATCCTACAGAAGTTTGATGTAATCCTACTTTTTTCAAGAACCCAGCACTAAAGAAGGAAGTTCACATCTTTTCATCACAGAAGATAAAGGTAAGATCCTGATTAAAAAACAACCAGGACACAATTAAAAATGTCCAACAGCAGGTAGACACCTGCAGCCCCAGTTGGCTGTAAGATCTAGGTCAACCTTGGTAGGCATGAGATTGAATATGGAGGTCAGGGCAAATTCTGTGGATCTCTGAACAGAGTCTGACAACATTTGTATAGAAAATTGTGTATTGATCGACCAGGTCAGACTTGCATTTTTATTGTGTTTGTATGTAAAATTAAGAGCTGTTTGACTGTTTGAGAGATAACAACTGGAAGTCACTTCTGATATTTGGGGGGAAAATAAAAAATACCTGGAGGATTGAGTTTACAAACAAGAGGCCCAGAGGGCCTGTATCGCTCACCTAATTATTTTTAAAATAATTGGTATGAAGTAAAAATATAGCATTCCATGGTCGGTGCTGTACATACATATGAAATGTCAGAAAGATCCATTCAGTACTTGAGATATAGCGAGAACAAACTTCAAACAAAGCCCCACCCCTATGCCCCTAGGGGGGTCATGCCCAACGTTTATACAAAATTTAGTCCCCTTGGATGCTCCAGACTAAATAATGATAAAATCCCTTAATCCCGATGGTCGAAGAAGGCTTTTAAGGGTTTTACCTCTATTTCTCCTATTGGGCCCCACCCTTCTGCCCCCTGGGAGACTACACCCACAGCTTATAAAAAATTGAGTCCTCTTGGCCCAAGGATGCTCCAGACTAAAATAGGATAAAATCCCTTAATCCCTACAGTAGAAGAAGGATTTTAAAGGTTTTACTTCTGTTTTTCCTCAGGACCAAGGGGGGCCCGCCCACCGTTTATACAAAATTTGTTCCCCTTTACCCAAGGGTACTCCACACTAACTATGGACCAAATCCTTTCATTCCTACACAATAAGAGGATTTTAAAGAATAATGATTTGCTATGTTTCCCCTATTGGGCCCCTCCCCTCAGGCCCCTGGGGGGCAAGACCCACGGTTTATACAGAATTGGTTCCCCTTCATCCAAGGATGATTCTGACCAAATATGGAAAAAATCCTTTCGTTCCTACAGAAGAAGAAGGATTTTCAAGAATTTGCTATATTTCCCCTATTGGGCCCCACTCCTCAGCCCCCAGGGGGGGCCAGACCCACCGTTTATACAAATGATCCACACCAAATATGGACCAAATCTTTTAATTCCTAAAGAAGAAGGATTTTAAAGAATAATTTGCTGTTTCCCGTACTGGGCCCCACCCCTCAGGCCCCTGGGGATCCAGACCCATGGTTTATACAGAATTGGTTCCCTGTCACCCAAGGATGATTCAGACTAAATATGGAACAAATCCTTTAATTCCTACAGAAGAAGAAGGATTTTAAAGAATTTGCTATATTTCCCTATTGGGACCCGCCCCTCAGCCCCAAGGGGGGCCAGACCCACCATTTATACAAAATTTGTTCCTCTTCCTCCAGGATGCTTCTGACCAAAATGGAATAAATCCTTTCACTCTTACAGAAGAAGAAGGATTTTAAAGAATTTGCTATATTTCCCCTATTGGGCCCCACCCTTCAGCCCACAGTTTACAATTTTGTATAAACCCACCATTTATACAAAATTTGTTCTCCTTCACCCAAGAATGCTTCAGACCAGATATGGACCAACTCCTTTCATTCCTACAGAAGAAGCCCACTGGGGGGGGGGGGCACACCCATCTTTTATACAGAATGGTGGCAGTATACATTAGAAATGGCCCGACTCTGATAAACAAGGCACATGTCGAGGAAATGTAAACACAGCGGATTTACCCTACACAACACATGTATACATGTATATATATTTGTAAACTGCATTACATTTACCAGACATATAAAGTACTTAGAAGTGTATAAACCTCTTTTTTCTATGTATGTCACTTGTGTGAAAACCATGGTTACCACATCAAAAATTACCAAAAAATGCTATTTTTGACCCAAAATTTGACCCCCTCAACTAGCATTTTTTTTCCTAAGTTCTGTCTGAAATTTAAGATTACCTACTTGGTTGCAGATTTATCTGGGTCCCAGTTAAGTTGTCAAACTTGATTTTTTGCAATTTTGCGTCGTGTGCTGTTGTCAAAATTTTACCTCCTGTAAAGCTAGCTTTTCATGTGTAGGCACCCTTTCGAATTATGGCCAAAATTTTGATCTCGAACCAAAAACTTTTTTTTTTTACAAATGTGAAGCTCACATAGCCCACTTCATCATGCTTATACCAATTTTAGTACAGATTTATTTTTATATTATTTTTACATATCATTATACAGGGGTTAGCCATTTATCACCCATTGCCACAACCCTCTACTGTAGACTGCTACCAATTGGTTCCCCTTCACCCAAGAATGTTCCAGACCAAATATGGATCAAATCCTTTCATTCCTACTAAAGAAGAATTAGGATTTTAAACAATTTGCTATGTTTCTCCTATTGGTTCCTGCCCCTCAGTCCCCTGGGGGGCCAGCCCCCAGTTTATACAGATTTAGACTAATATGGAACAAATTCTTTCATTCCTACAGAAGAAGGATTTTAAAAAATTTGCTATATTTCCCCTATTTGGCCCCGCCCCTCAGCCCCAAGGGGGGCCACACCTACCATTTATGCAAAATTTGTTCTTCTTCCCCCAAGGATACTTCTGACCAAATATGAAACAAATCCTTTCATTCCTACAGAAGAATAATTAAGGATTTTAAAGAATTTGCTATATTTCCCCTATGGGGCCCTGTCCCTTAGCCCCCCTGGGGGGCCAGACCCACCATTTATACAAAACTGAGTCCCCTTTGCCTGAGGATGCTCCAAATTTAGTCAAAATCTACTGGGCCATTCAGGACAAGTAGCGTTTTAAAGGAAAAGTTGACAGGCGCTAAAATGACTGATTTAGAAAATTAACAAACCCCAGTAAGATATGTTGCAAATTAATTGTTTCTTCAAGAAATGTTAATAGGATTTTGAGATCTTTTTTTCCTCATTTTCAAAAAGAAGTGACAGTTTAGATTTTGTTTTTAAAACCTTTTGTACATTTAATTGTCATTTTTTACAGCTGTAGAAAAAGTTTCGCTAGAAAAGTGTCAAATGGATAATTTCATTGATGTCAGTCTATTATTTGTAGCAGTTAGCGTGTGATGTGAGACAACTTTTGTCATTATTTCAGATGACTCAGATAGGGAGGAAGATGATGATGATGATGAGGTGAGTTTATGTTTAGATGATTGTTGTAAGGATGAAGATAATCAAAATATTTTCTCTCATTTCTGTGTGTGTTAGATAGAGCTGTCCAGGGTAAGATAGAGCTGTCCAGGGTAAG